CTCAGAGGTTGTAAGAGTTCTATGTGTGTATATAATATATATTGTTTGAATTTGCCTGAAAAAGACATGGGAAGGATGAGAGAGAGAAAGAGGGAGGGCAGAAGGGAAGAAAGGAAAGAGGGAGGGTTCCCTATCGGGGATGAGGACTGGAGGGGAAATACTTGTCTACTATGTTTTACTTTGAATATTAATATATTACTTTTTTTTAATTAAGTGTTTGATTAAGCTGTTTTATAGTCACTTGGATGAGTAAGCAGGAATCCAAAGAGCCTTTGGGTTGAGTACGAACAAGCCATGTCCTATCATGTCTTCCTTTGGGAAGGGTTTTGGATAGGGAGCTCAGGGGAGTGCCACAGACCCAGTGTCTGTGGAGTGTCATTGGGTAAAGATACTCACCGGAGAGCCGTGAGCAAGATGGGGAGTCTAGGCTGGATGCTAGGTGTAACTGCTGCTGTTTATAATGGTTTCTGATCAATGGTTTGCTATTAATTTGGAGGAAACGTTCTAAGGAGAAAGCACTGCAGCTTACCATTAACTTTCTCTTATTTTACACTTAATAAATAACTTGGTTAAAGAAATAGAAGACACACTTACCAGTTACGTGCCTAATATAAAGTTGGAAGATATAACCACTGTGCTGGGTGATAGAATCAGGATCCAAAATGATCCCTGCAAATTGAAGCAACAGACTGATCCTAATGAGATGAAATAGCAAAGTAATGTCATATACATGGATTTTTATTTTATTTTAATCAGTTTTACAAGCACAGTTCTGGGAAAGTAGAGATTAAAAGCAGCACGAGTAGAAAAAGACTTCAGTATTTCAGTGGCCAATTAACTTGATAGGAATGTATGATGTGGCTGCCAAAAGGAAAAAGAACGTAATTTTTAGCTACATTAATAGAAGGTGACAGTGCTGGTCTGCTCTGCATGAGTCAGACCAGGCCTGGTATATTTCATTCATTTCCTAGGGACATTCTTACAAAGAGGATATAGACAAAGCAAAGCGTTTAAACGTGGGAGCAGCCATAGTGGTGGTGACTAAAAACCATGTCAAAGAGAGTGGGTATGTTTCACCTGGAGAAGAAAAAGCTTAGAGTCTAAATAGTAATATTTCAGTTGTTTGGAAAGTGAAGAAACAGATGAGGCTTATTCTTTTTGGACTGAATAGGACAATATAGAAGCAGGAGGTAGAAGTTTTTAGCTGTGTGCAAGGAAGATCAACAGTGAGGGCTGTCTGCAGAGGGGCTGAGGGCCCAAGGAAATCACATTAATCTAAGGAAACTTCTTGTCAAAAACTGTAGTGAGGATTCAAGGATGGGCTGCCTGGCTGCTCTAGGTCAGCGCTACTCAAAGGATCTTGTTTTCTTTTTCTTTTTCCCCCTTGTGTGTTTGTTTATTTTATCTTTTTTTCCCAGTTTGTCATACTGCTTTTCGTCATAAGTTGAGATAAAATTCATCCTTTTAAATATAAATATAATTTAAATAGAATTCAGTGATTTTTTTTACTCACAAGGTCATTCACCCATTACCATTGATCGAATTCCAGGATATTTTTTTTTATCACCCTAAAAGGAAACCCCATATTCATTAGCAGTCACTCCCTATTCCCCACTGCCCCAGTCTGTGGCAACCATTAATCTACTTTCTGTTGCCTCTTCTGGACATTTTTTAATAAATGGACTCATACAATAATGTGACCTCCTGTGTCTAACATGTTCCACTTAGCTTACTGTTTTCAAGGTTTATCCATGTTGTAGTATGTGTCAGTAGTTTATTCCTTTTCGTGGCTGCCTAATATTCCATTGTATGGACACATTCCATTTTGTTTATCCTGATGGACTTCATTTTTTTTTCCTTTCATTTTTTTGTCTGTTGCGGATAATGCTGCTATGGACATCTGTTTACAAGTGTTTTTGTGAACATAATGTTTTATTTCTCTTGGGTATATCCTTAAGGGTGAAATTGCTAGGTAATGTGATAACCCTGCTTTTTGAGAAAATGCCAAACTGTTTTCTATAGAAGCTTCACTGTATTACACTCCTACCATCAAGGTGTGAAGGCTCCAATCTTTATATCCTTGCTGACATTTTTTATTGTTTCTGTTTCTGATTACAGCCATTTTAGTGGTTATGAAGTGATAATCTCATCATGGTTTTGATTTGCATTTTCCTAATGAGTAATGGTGTTGAGCATTTTTCCATGTGCTTATTATTCGTTCTGTAGAGGAATGTCTGTTCTGATCCTTTGCCAATTTTTAATTGGGTTCTTTTTATTGTTGAGTTTTAAGAGTTCTTTATGCAGACTGAGTTGTAGCCAAGGACATCAAAGCATTTTCCTTACATCCTGCCTTTTCCTGAGTAAACAGGTAGTAACCATGGTGCCCCCAACCCCGTGTGGGTTCCATCCCAGACCTCTATGTCCCCCTGTTCTATAAGCCTGGGGCTGGTCTTTTAACTAAAGCCAGGGAAAGCCTGAACATCCTCTGGTCTGTTGTTGCTGAGAACTGCTGCCTGTGTACCCTAAGTGCTAGTCAGTTGCAAACCAAAATGCTAGTCAGTTTCAACTCATAGTGAGATTTTTCTCTTCACCTTTTCTACATTTCACAGCCATTCAAACAGACCTTCTTTATCAGTTATAAACCAGTGACATTTGGCTCTAAAATCTGACATGTTGCTGCATTATCAAGGAGTTAAAAGTAAATGCCATGGTCTCCCTCCAAAGAGGCGGTCTTTTCTGCTTGCACTGGGCATATCTCAGGATCTCTGCAGAAGACACAATGAACAAGAATTTGGGCTTGGACTGATCAGCAAACATCCTGGCAAGCTGTTCTAGGATGCCATCTGCAGATGTTACTTACCCAGTTTGAGTCCTCTAATAGCTCTTGACCTCCTCTTGGCCCTATCAGATGCCTCTCGTTATCCTTCCAGATTCTTAATTATTCCTCTTGGGTGAGACAGACTCAGAGGCAACATTGCTGATTCTTTTCCAAACAGTTAAATGTAGAAACATCAGTCTTTCATTCCTCCTCATAGACATTTCGAAGGCATGATCTTCTGCTCCATGTTGGTTTCAAAGAACTTCTCTCCAGTTCTTCCTACTTCTAGGACTATGTGAATGGAAACAAGTTCTAGAACAGTTGATAATAAGCAGAGAGATGGGTAGTGCTCTAAAACACGAGCCCTGAAATCACCTTCTGTTTAGAGAAACTTGGACTCTACAGGCTGCTTTTCTGCCTCATCATCTGCCTTGTCTGTTATCCAGAGCAGTTGCTCAAAGCCTTTTATTTCTCTTATCAAGCTTCTTTCTCCTTCCCTAGCACTTTGATGATGATCCTGCTCTCTACCAAAAACAGAGCAACAGATCTGACCTCCCTCAAATTCCCGTTTTTCCCCTAGCCTTAAACCAATATGCTGCCATCCTGATTCCCTTCTTGCTTGCTAGGAAGGAACTGTCTTTCCAAGACCAGTCCCTTTAACAGTGTTCTTAACCCCTACCCCTTCTACCTGTAGGACTTTGTTCCATCAGTTATCCTCATCCTCTCCTGTAGCTTAAAGCTTTTTCTCCTGACTCCCTCCACTCTCCAGTGCTCAATCCTCTCCCATACTAAAGATTCTTTCCCTCAATGCTGGTCCTCTCTTCAGCACAAAATGTTCTAAAAGAGTGATCTGTAGCTACGGGCTCTACGTATCCAACTGTCATTCTTTGCAAGTCCAGGTCCATTCTTACCCTCATTTTAGTTCCTTCTCTGAAACTGTTCTTGCCTAGATCTGCAGCAACTTCTCAATTGTCAGTTCAAGCGGTCACATTTCTACCTTTACTCTATGTTTCTGATGAGGCAATAGTCACTCTTAATCCTTCATGCAGCGGAAAGTTCTAATGAATCTTAACTTGGATGCTCAGAGTTCAGGTGTGTTGGTTTGATACCGTGAGGCTTCCTCTTGTTTGGGGATGTAATTTCAAATTAAAAGAAACTTTATCACTTTGAACAGCTGCATCTCCAGTTAGTGTGGTGGTGGTTACTGTTCTCATGGTTCAAATTGCCGAATTTGTGTGGTGACTCTTACAGAACCACCTTTTTCTTACTCATTCCTTCCATTTTTTATTAAACAAAAGTAAAACAACTTACTAAAACTAGTTTAAAAAAATCTTACTTTGTATTTGTGCACAAATCCTGTTACCCAGCTTGCTCACTTTCTGCTAATGACGTTGGATTTTTTAACATCACCATTACAAAATTTGCCTCTGTGGTTGTTAAAATAATCATACCAAGGTGTGAGGTAGCTTCCAGTGCCTAAATGGGTCCTGACACCTGGGAGGTGCCCAGTATATATTTGTTGAAAAATTAATTCCTCAAGTAGCCCTGAGATACGCAGTTCTAGCCAGAGAGCTTGAAACATGACCCGTCTTATATCCCAGCTGGTTGGCTTGAAAGGCTTAATTGTGAGCAGAATGCTTAGGTCTGGATGCCGTGGTAGTCCCTTTACAACTTAATAAAGCAGTTATTCTTTTCACATATTTTCTTAAGGGAGAAAAACAGTATGAATAGTTTAAAAGTCAAGTTGAATTCACTTGTGTTCCTACAACCAGGAAAAAATATCTGTTTCATTTTTGTGAATTAAAAATTCACGTATTTAAATATTTCCTACTGTCTCTCTCCTCTTAGTGCCTCTGCAGTGTCTCTGGAGATGGGAGTCTTTGCTTCTGGTATATGTGGAGCACTGATGCCATGAGCAAGTAGGCACCCTGTGTGCGTTTGGTTCTAGAATTTAGTTCAGAATAGTGTTATGGTTTAGTTGGGTTGTAGAATTACTATTGACGATCTGGCCATGAATCTCAGAAACCAGTGGAAATGTGCTCTTGACCCTCAGTCTTAACCCCTCACCATGGTTAGTGCTTCTCTGTATATTTAAATTATCTGTGCTAATGGAACAGCCTGGCTCATTCTGTCTCTATTGGTATCTGTAACTGATCATTGATTTCTCAACTGGTTTTTACAGAGGGACCTGTCAGGGCACAAGAACATCGTGGGGTACATTGACTCTAGTATCAACAACGTGAGTAGCGGTGATGTGTGGGAGGTGCTCATCCTGATGGACTTCTGCAGGGGTAAGTGTGGGAACCACACCTTAAGCTCTCATTTCTTCAGCACTTTGATTGTCAAGGGCGTGGAGTCATTCAGTTAATGTGCGCTGTACCCTAATGTACGTTGTTGTGGTTTTAAAGATCGGAAAAAGAGGCTAGAAAATATAGAGCCTTTTGGAATAACTTTTTGTTATTTTTATAATGGCAGGGATTTGGTGGTCCAAAGAAGTCAAAGTGGTGGATGGCACAAAACTCTGTGTTACATTTAGGAAGATTTGGTGCTTATATATGAATGAGAATAAGAATGAATGTGTTCTTTGTGATGCTTTAAAACAAATGATGAAGGCACATAATAAAGACCCAACTCCAGATGGACCAAAGAAACAGTTCTGCCTCCCTCACTCGTGTGCCTTCTCCTCCACCCACACAGCCATCCTCGCACTGGGGGGTAAAAGAATCATTTTCATCTGGTGGAAATGATCCCTTTCCTGCTTGAGAGCTGTGATTGCCAGTAAGGCTACATTCAAGTGAGGCTGCCATAACAGTGAAGTTAAGTAGTTGAATGCTTGGAGTTTCCAGCAATATTTGTCTTGGGAAATCTAGGCTGTAGCATGAATTGATTCAGAGGTGACTCTATTTCGTACAGCTGTTGTTTGGAGGTTTGGCTTTTGGAGCTAAGCAGCTGCCACTTAAAAGCTTGGATCACTGTCTCACTGTTTGGTGCCCTGTTTTATAATCACTCTTAGTTCCACTAACATCTTCCTTGCCTTTAAAGAAGTTGTCCATAAATTAAATATGTTGTGAATTCTGAAAATGGGATGTTAACCAATCATTTCAGCCTTTACGGTAACAGCTATTAACCTGATTTCATAAAGCACTACAGCATTTGAACTTGACGGTTTGTTTCCTCCTGCCCATGCCTTTTTGGACAGTAAGATGTTTAGAGACGAGGCGGTAGGAGCATCCAGGGACCTGGATAATTTTCTAAGCGAGGTCATCAGTCTTTTGGTCCTGGAGATTAAATGTTGGGGTAGCATTTCTGCAGTCTAGGCAGCAAGTAGTAAAGCCAGAGAAACCAAGCTGTTCCTAAAATACAAACTGTAAAACTGTCTTCTTCTCCTCCTGGGGTCTGCTGTGCAGCCTGCTCCTCACTGAAAGATAAGGCAAGTTGAGCCTGTGGCCTTGTCCGATGCACAACAGGAACAGTATAACCAGGCAACTAGGGCAGGACCAGAGTGTCAGTTCTGCTACTAATCTTGAGGACAGAATGAGGGCAGCTCACATCTGGGCTGCTTTATAAACTGAAGAAACTGTGTTGATGGGGTAGAAAACCAGTCCCAGGCTGAGAATCAAGACACCAGGTGTTTTGGTCCTGGCTCAGCCAGGGATCAGCCGAGTTCAGGTTGCTCCTCTGTGGACCGCCATTCATTCTCTTGGATAAGTCACAAGTCTGAATGTTTGTAACCTTTCCTTTGCTCTGCACCCTTCTCAGGAGGCCAGGTGGTCAATCTGATGAACCAGCGCCTGCAAACAGGTTTCACAGAGAACGAAGTGCTCCAGATATTTTGCGACACCTGTGAAGCTGTTGCCCGCCTGCATCAGTGCAAGACTCCTATTATCCACCGCGACCTGAAGGTAACAGATGACACTGTCTCATTAAGTGTGTTCTTACGGAGTATCTTCTGTCTGCCCCAGGAAGAGGGTAGATGTTGTGGGGATGTTGGAGAAGTTTAAGGAACAGCACCGAATTCTAAGCTTATATTGTTTGGGGAGAGAAAATATAAATGAAAATAAGGAATAACAGTACAGTATAGGTCTCAATTGTATTAAGCAGCCTTCAGAAATTCTTTATAATCATCAGATGCTGGAACACGTTCTTCTTGTTTTTCCTGCCATCCTCCCAAATTCACTTTTCCAGGGTCATGAAAAGTAATATGCTAATTTAACTAGCTTGTCAACAGTGATCCCTGGTCTTTCAAATCCTTCATATTTTGTAAAACCTGTAAATTGGTGATTTTAAAAAAATTTGTCATATTAATTACCATCCTCTGGCACCAGGCTTTTTGTATTGTGGTCACTTGACAATGTTTGCTGAATGGAACTGGCCCCTGGGTAGGACTCACTAACACCGTGGAGCGCTGACTGGGTGCCAGGTACTCTGCTCGACACGTTACGTACATCGTCTCTGTACGTTTTATTGCTGGGGAAACTCAAGAGCAGAGAGGTTATGTGACTTGAGGTCATATAACTAGGAATGAGCAATGCCAGAATTTGAATCCAGCTCTTCTGATTCTAAATTAGTTTCTTTTCAACGTACCTGTGTTTTGAGAAACAGCTAATAATTTGCATCAGCGTCCCCCAGTGTGCTTGTTAAATGCAGGCTACTGTGTTCCACACTGAATCTTCTGGGCTATAATTTTTGTGATGGTGTCAGGGAAGCCCAGGAGTTTTTATCTTAAGCACCCCAGGTCATTTTTGTATATTCTAAAGTTTGAGGATCACAGCAGCAGACTGGCATTTCTGTTTTGAGGGTGTTTTTTGTGTTTTTTTTTTAAATTAAGATATAATTCACATATCATAAGATTCCCTCTTTTAAAGTGTACAGTTTGGTGACTTTTAGTATATTTACAAGGCTGTACAACCATCACCATTGTCTACTTCCAGAATATTTCATCATCCCCTTAAAGAAACCCTGAACCCATTAAGAGTCACTCCCCCTTCTCCCCTGCCCCAGCCCCGGGCAACCACAAATCTACTTTCTGCTACTTATTCTGGACTGTTCATATAAATGGGCTCACGCAATATGTGACCTCTTTCAGCAGCATAATGTTTTCAAGTTTCGTCTATGTTGTAGTATATATCAGTACTTCATTCCTTTTCATAATAGCACTCCATTGTGTGGATATGCCACAGTTTTTGAAATCTGTTCATCAGTTAGTAGACATTTGAGTCATTTCTACTTTGGCTGTTATGAATAAGGCTACTATGAACATCCATGTACTAGTTTTTATGTGGGTGTATGTTTTCAGTTCCCTTGGGTGCATACCTAGGAGTGGAATCGCTGGGTCATATGGTAACTTTTTCAGGGACGGCCAAACTGTTTTCCAAAGTGGCTGCGCTGTTTTACATCCCACCAGCAACATATGAGGGTTCCAGTTTCTCCACACTAATACTTGTTACTGTCCTCTTTTATTTTCCCATCCTAGTGAGTGTGAGGCTCCAAAAACCTTAGGCAGCCTTCTCCAGGGTACCTCTGCCCAGAGTCTGTTTCTGATTGGAACAAGAAGACACCTCAGTGGATATTATGAATCTAGCATCGTAAAGCACCTAATTCTGAGGGGACAGTACAGATACAACATAGTTCCTACACTCACAAAGCATTGGTGAGAGAATATAAATTAAATCTTTGAAACTGAAACCTAAATAGGTGAAATACAAAACTTTATAGAAGAAAGAGATGAATAGAAGAGATTCAAGTGGCTTAATGTGCGGTCAGATAGTGGACTCCGGCATGGTGGTTGGAACCTTCTGGAAAAGTGGGATTGTGAAGGGTTCGTGGGACATGGGTGGTCGCCATATGAGTTTGGGCCCCTCTGGAGCCCTGCTCTCCTGCCATGACAGATGGGGTCTGATTTCAAGTTGGAACCCTGACTCTGCAGCGCTGACAGACTGACTTGTACCGACATGAGAGTCTCCTGAACCACTGCACGCAGCATCCTCTGGACAGCTGGATGCAGAGGGCACCTGTCAGTCCCTATCTTACCCTCCCTATGGCCTTTGACTCCTTTGTGACCATCCCCTCCCATGACCTCTGTGTTCTCTCAGGCCCCTCCTCACACTCCTTGGTTGCTCCCCTCGTCACGTAGCCTCTGAGCCTCAGCTTCCTTGTCTGGGCCAGGCGACAACAGCACCAGCCTTGTCGAGGCCAGAGTGAGGCTGAAGGAGACCGTGTGTATCAGTGTGTGGGCACATGCCGGGCGCAGGGGGTCCTGAAACGGCAGGCAGGGAGGTGAGGCTGAGTGGGCCACCGAGCATCCTTTTAGAGAATGCTACACCCCTGTTCTTAAACAAAATCTTCCTTTATTGTCACATTTGAAACACTTATTGGAAAAAATGAGGCTTAAATGATAGTCATTTCTGAAAACTAGTGCCTGCCCAGTTGACATGTTCCCAGCATATTCATGCCCCGGGGTGCTCACCGAGCTGCAGTGAGGTGGTGGATAAACGGCACCCAGTGATGGGAGCCTGGGGCACACAGCTCAGTGTCTCACCTGGTGACATGGAGTCAGTCGGTGGTTGGGCTCAAGTAGCAGGAGCGAGGCTCTTCCTTCTCTGCTCTGAACAGCCTGTAAGTTGTCTCAGCAGAGGGACACGGAGCAAACCGGGATCTGCCTCGCTCTCTTCGCAGCCCGCCGGTGGCCCTTGCCCCTTGCCCCTTGCCCTCCTCAGTGTTCCTGAGAGCAGCTCAGGGCTGGGAGCACAAAAAACTGTGTCCAGTCGCTAGTGAGGACCATCAGGTGTGCTGCTAGTTTGGCTGTAGTGTTTCAGGAGATTTTGTTTCCCCTTCTCCTTGACCTTGGAAATAGAGACGGTAAATAGGGGCTCCTGGGAGAAGGCTTTGAACGTGATCATTCTCGGGAGTCCTGTTGCTGGTTTTTTATTTTTTTAACATTTTAAAATTAAAATTTTGGGGGGTGGGCAGAGGTAATTAAGTTTCTTTTTTATTTATTTACTCATTTCTTTTTTTTTAAATGGAGGTATTGGGAATTGAACCCAGGACCTCATGCATGCTAAGCATATGCTCTACCACTGAGCTATACCTTCCCTGATGTTGCTGTTGATTTTAGTCGTTGACTCCTGGCTGTTGAGAAGAAACTTTCCCAGACTCCCCGGATCTTACACTCGGTGCCATCTAGATGCTTTTGTCGGCGTTAGAGTCTGTCGATTTCCGCTGGTGTGTGCTTGGTGGGCAGTCACACCTGCCTGCCTGCACCACCAGCTTCCTAAGGCAGGAGTGAAAAGTCCCCACGGACCTCCTGTTGGCCCTGGCTCTGTCGTGCCTCCGCCACTCTGAGCTCCGTGTCACTGCTGGAACCAGCCAGCACAGTCCTGGCAGCAGCCAGAGCCAAGAAGTTCTTTATTCTCCTCTTGGTTAGAGAAAATGCTGGAGGCTGGTCTCTCGGTTGCTTCTCTGTGAGCAGGGTTTCCACTTGGTGAGTAAGTCAGTGGGACACGGGAAAGGGCACAGGTCAGGCCAGCTGGGGACCCCCTTGCTGAGCCAGTGCCGCCCTGTGTGGGGTCTGCTTGTTCACGTGCAGAACTGAGAAAGGCCCCTTTGCCCTGCACACCCCGTGTGTAGTCTTTCACATTCCAAAGAGGAAGTAAGCTGAAAGCAGTCCCTGTCTGTAAGCAGCTTAGGTTCCAAAAATAACCATAACAGAAGTTCTGGTCTTCATCAAAGGTCTCTCCTCAAATACACGGTCTTAACACTTTAATTATTTCTCCCACTCATAACTGTCATCTCTCCAGGAAAGATAGAGATCCTTCTTGCAGGTCGTGGGGTCATAGACCTGCGAGGGTCACATAAGCCAGTCCTCTCCTTTTACCAACGAGGAAACCTCTGCCCAGAAAGGCTGTGACCTGCACAGCGAGTTCAGTGATCAAACCAGGACAAAGGCCAAGGTGTTTCACTCTTATTTTGGTTTTTGTTTATTTGGTTTTGCTATATTTTACCATGCTGTTTGTCCACACACTTAAGAAAGGAGAAGAAAATGTTCCAACTTCACAAACACATTCTAGATTGGAAAAGTCATGAATGCCTCCTCTTTTGTCAGAAGGGAGATGCAGATCTCATCAAGTACAATAGGATGAAGATTCTTGTCCTGTTTTTGGAATCACAGGTTTGAAAACCAGCATTCATCAAATCCTCCACCGTTTCCAGTGGTAATAAACTCTGGGGCTGAAATGCCTGAAGGCCGTATCTCTGTGGAATAATGTCAAAATGAAGCGATCAGGGGGAGGTGGCTTTCCAGACCTTCCAGCTAAAGCTCTAAGCAGAGTGTGGGAGTGACAACTTTAATAACCCTCTTAGGCTGATAGGTTGACAAATAAGGTCAGCGGCGTTAAACTCTGAAGGAGCTGAAACACTGGAGGTTGTAAGCGATGGTAACGAGTATGAGGCTGACTTCCTAAAGGACTTGGCCAAAAACAGAGTCACTGTGCAGATTCTCTGAAGCTTTCAGAAGACAATGTGTTAATATCCAGTTGGTTCTCTACCTTTCTGAGCTCAGTGAATCCCCCTTGGTCCTGGTCATCTCATACCTGGACGATCACACCTGCCCTCGTTGTCTCCTTTCTCGCGTTCTCCCTGCTCTGTCATCCGCCGTGCTAAACTTCCTAAAACACCTCTTTTCATCTACTCTGACTGTTAATAGTGCTGAGTGGCTCCCTCGCAGCCTTCCTTGCCTGCCCTCTGCCTGCCTCTCTGGTCTCCTCTCCTCTGCTCCCTTCTCCTCCAGCCTGAACTGTCCATGTTCCTTAACTGCACAACGCACACTAGTGTGATGGGTGAGGGTATAGTCCCAGTGATGTGGCAGCCTGAGCCCAAATCCTGCCCTAGCAGCCTTGTGACTTCAGGCACGTTAGGTGACTGAACTACCTTCTCTCACTTGTTAAGTGCAGACAATAAGGTTTTGTAAGAATTTCATGAAATACTATAGGCAAAAGTGTACATGGGAAACGATAAACAAAGCAAAAAGACAACCTACCGATTGGGAAGAAGTATTTGCCAACAATACAAATGACAAGGGCTTAATTTCCAGAATATGTAAACAGCTTATACAACTCAATAACAACAAACAACTCAATCAAAAAAATGGGCAGAAGACCTAAACAGACATTTCTCCATTGAAGATATACAGATGGCCAATAGGCACATGAAAAGATGCTCAGTATTGCTAATTATCAGAAAAATGCAAATCAAAACTACAATGAGGAGTCACCTCACACCAGTCAGAATGGCCATCATTCAGAAGTCCACAAATGACAACTGCTGGAGGGGGTGTGGAGGAAGGGAACCCTCCCACACTGGGGGTGGGAATGTAATTTGGTGCAGCCACTATGGAAAACAGTATAGAGATTCTTTAAGAAACTAAAAGTAGAGTTACCAGATGATCCAGCAATCCCACTCCTGGGCATGTATACAAAGAAAACTCTAATTCAAAAAGATACATGCGTCCCAGTGTTCATAGCAGTACTATACAATAACCAAGACATGGAAACAACCTAAATGTCTGGTGACAGATGATTGGATAAAGAAATTGTGGTGTATATATATATACAATGGAATATTACTCAGCCATAAAAAAGAATGAAATAATGCCATTTGCAGCAACATGAATGGACCTAGACATTACCATATTAAGTGAAGTAAGTCAGAGAAAGGCAAATATCATATGATATCACTCATATGTGGAATCTAAAACATGATTTAAATGAACTTATTTACAAAACAGAAACAGACTCACAGAAATAGAAAACAAACTTATGGTTACCAGTGGGGAAAGTGAGCAGGAGGGATAAATTAGGAGTTTACGGTTAGCAGGTACAGACTACTGTATACAATATAAATAAACAGCAAGGGCCTACTGTATAGCACAGGGAACTACATTCAATATCAATAACTTATTATGAAAAAGAATATATATATATGTATAACTGAATCACTGTGCTGTATACCAGAAACTGACACAACATTGTAAATCAAACCAAACATCAATAAAATAAAATAAAGTAGTCCCTGAGGTCTTCTGAACCCCAGCTCCAATGGGGTTGTCACACATCGTGCTCTGTATTAAGCATTTTGTTGGTGATGGTGGTGGCCATGATGAAGGACAGCAGCTGGCTTCGTCTGGGAGGTTTTCACAGGTGTTACAGTTCACAAGGACGGTCTCAGAGGGGGCGGAGCACACAGCAACTGCTAAAGTGGCTGCTGCCAAGCAATTTCACCTTCATAATCTCAGTTGATCCTCCCAGCAGGCTTGCAAGGTAGCCAGAGCAGGGATTATTGTTCTTATCTGTATTGATAGTTCTTTGATATTGCTCAAGCTTTCCTTACGTTGATATTTCTGGCTCTCTTATTTACTTTTGTACACACCCTTAGTTTTTAACTGATTTTCTTGTCAATGTAGTTTTGTACAATGTTATCTTTATGGGAGGGAGGCAGGGAAGCAGGGTGGGACCAGGTTAGATATAGTGCAGTTCCCTGAATTCTGTCTGTCTGGAACTAACCAGAAATACAAACCTAGTTTTTAACGTGGGGGAAGAAACAAAAACAAAACCCCCTGATGTGCATCATCTTTACTCTGTCCTTTGTCTACTTAGTTCTCCTCTCTCTCCTAACAGTGATTTTGGTTTTTGTGTATGTTTTGTTATGAGTTAGCTTTTTAATTCTCTAGATTGTATGGTCCAGCATTAGAAGAACAGAATCTGATTGGGGAAGGGACTACACACATACAATAGGAGAAGCATGGTTTCTCATGAGTCCTGTAAGATGCATGAGGCCAGCAAGGAAGATTGTTGCTGAAAGATGCTAAATAAGGGATTTAGGGGGCCCTAGTGTGTGTGAAATACTGGACTGGCTATTGTTGGGGACCCACGGGGATAATATTATTATAGACCAAAGACTGGCAAACTTCTCCACAAAGGGCCAGAGAGTAAATATTTTAGGCTTGTCAGCTGTATGGTCTCTGGACTAGACTAGAGGATGAGTAACCAGTGGACATGGCTTTGTTTGGCCAGAAGGTCCAGCCCCTCCCAGCATTGGTAAATTCTGTAGATTTTGTAGGGTGGCCATGGGAAGTTCTTCTGAGGAGTTATGACTTGAGCAAGGCTTTGAAGAATGACAGGTTTGACTATTGAAGAGTGAGCAATTGAATAAAAAGACAAACTAGAAAATATAGAGAATGCTTAGGAGCCATAGAACAAATCAGCTGAAATAGTATATAGACACTTGGTTCCTCATTGACTAGATTCTTTTTATAGAGACATTTCTGAATATGAAGGACTAAGGCAGCCCTGTTCTTAGGCTTGGATCCAATACATTGGATGAGTACAGTCATCATCCCTACCAGTGTAGGAGGATGGGGATGGGGGGACTTGAGTAATTAATTGCTCTGCTCCTAACCTGCTTCCTGCCCCGGCAGAAAGGTAAATTGCCTGTCCTTCTCTAGAGTTGGAATGCCCAGGCTCGCTTCCTTGCTTAATCCCCATGAGCCTCACTTTGTCTGTCTGAGGGATGTATTATTATATTGTTATTATGAGGATTGAATGAGATAATCCATGTCAAGTGTTGAGACAGTAGGACTTGTAATAGTAAAAGCTCAGTACATGGTAGCTGTTCTTTGTAGAACCTCTTAATTCGATTGGGAAATATTAGTGTTGCTTTGTTGAAATTATTTTAGATTTCTAAAGTGAGTATATATTCAGGATAGCTTGACTGTTTCACTTTGTGTAAATAGATTAAACTGATGAGCTTTGTAAAAAGCTGTAGGTGGTGGAAATATTTGCCTGCCTCAGCCTTGTCTTTGGGGAACAAATCTTCCCTGAGAATTCTTAATCGTAAGAGCATATCCACGCAAGTTGATGGTCATAGTTCACACTATGCCTGTGTGGCTAAAAATCCCAAGGTCAGAATTAGAGATTAAAGTGATTGTAGGTTATTGGTGCCCCAGGTACATGAGTATATCACCTCTGAAAGAATAATAGACTTTAAACTCGGGCCTCCAAGGCTTCCCACAGATGAATTCCAAGGAACATGCGTTAACAGTAACAAAACCCCTCACAGCAACACTGTGAGTGAGACTCAGTAAGAGTAAGAAGCAATAAACTATAGAATCAGTTTACAGCGAAGACTTTAGATGTTGGATTTAGCAGATACAGGCTATAAAAGGAACATTTTTTATAATGTATAATATAATTTTAGAAGAATTAAAAGAAACAGTAGACATAATAATTGACAAGATATTTTTAGGAGAACTAGTAGCAGTAGTAGTAGGGGTCTGGGTATTTGGTGGCTTTTGTCTTGTTTCTGACCAACTAACACATTCACAGACACACACAACAGAGTATCGGATGCATTTTTTTTTATTTTATTCTATTTAACCAACATTTTCTATACCGAGCACTATGTTAGGCTTTGGTAAAGAAGACTACGAATATCTGTGCTTGTCCTTAAGGAGCTTATAGTCTACTCTTGCCTTTGTTTTCCAAAGTTGATCAGTCTTTGGAAGGCTGAAGACAAAAGACAATGGAGACTACAGACTTACTGACCTAACCAGATTTTTTGGCTGCCATTTTACTGCCCACGCATAGCCAGGTCTGCCCTCCAGCTACCTGGTCAGTTCAGTTCACCTGTGCTAAAAATTAATACATCTTGAGTTCAGTAGTGCCCACTGTGTTGGAGTTGTTATTTCTTTGGCAGAGTCCTTCGATACCAAGGATTTCTCTAGGTTCTGGTCTTCGGAATCTCCTTTCTACGCAGAACTCCTAACTCACAGCCCAAAGAATTCATCTATAAAAATATAAGGATAATACTTTAACCAGAGAGCTGTGCATTTGCCCACAGGTCTTTAATCACTCTGAGAAGTAACTTGAATATAGGAAATATTTGTTAATTCTGAAAACCCTAATGTATTATAGTAAAGAAGGTGACGTATGTGTTTATAAGGCCTAAGTGAAGTAATCGACATCAAGAAGAAAAAAATACTGAAGGAACATAGGGAAGGAGCGACAGTTGTCTGAGTGGAGGCTTGAGGAAGTCTTCAAAGAAGAGGTGGCATTTGATCTGGCGTTTGAAAGATGAATGGGATTTTGGTAGTTGGATAAGGAGGTGGTGATCATCTGGAACATTCTAGACTGAAAGAAGAGCACAAGAAAAGATACAGAGGCTTAAAAGTATAAGGACTGTTTCTGCAGAGGTGAGAAATGTGGCTAGAAATCTAGAAAAACAGGACTCGTTTCCCCTCATGAAACCTCCTCTTTTTGCCCCCTCCACTCCCATTTCACCCTGTTGCTCTGCATCTCCTTTTGTTCCACTTGGAATGATCCCTGTTGAGATACTTGGAGGAGAGTAACTTTCCTATGCACCTTAATGAGATGATCAGAAATATTTTATTTATGTGTACGCAAGCCAAATTTTCACACACGTTACTAAATGTTATCTTGGAATGGGTGGCTGGGCAATGTTTTTCAGGTTGAAAATATTCTCTTGCACGACCGAGGCCACTACGTCCTGTGTGACTTTGGAAGTGCCACCAACAAATTCCAGAATCCGCAGACTGAAGGAGTCAACGCAGTAGAAGATGAGATTAAGAAGTAAGCTTTTCCTCTTTGCTCGGAGTTTTATCCATTGTCAGATTAGCAGTTTTACTTCCAGCTTATGATTGAGAAGGTCAGGGTTGGGGGACAGTGGCGCTAGTCAGTTGCCCCTCATCTCAGTGCATCATGTTGGCAGTTGGGTTGTTTGATTTTTAAGGGGAGGGTGGAGAGGGGGTTCACAATCATTGATGAATAGAGTAAAATGAAGGAATCTTACAGCACTTTCTCAGCGGTCCTGCGATCACTGTACATAGATCTTTTGATTTACGTCACATAGCCCTTCAAAACAGTGCACACACCATAGACGTACTGTGGTGTTTCTAAATGGGATCATCACAGCTGTGGCTTTACCAGTCAGTTGGCTGTGCTTTTTTACTGAACCCTTGATTGCTGTGTATCCCTTCCTGTTCATGAGGAGCTCACCTGCAGTCTAGTGGAGATACTGGTGAGTAGGGCAGTTGAAATCTCTGCAGATACTGGATCACTGACTTCCGCGAGAAAAAGCTTCTTTAAGACTTGTGACTCCAGTGAGAACCTGACCCGTTTTCCCTTCTTGTCCGGAGTGTTGGATTTTTCCCAGACACCAGCACTCACTGCTGCTGCTAATAAGTCGGCAGTCTGGAGCTCACACACTTCCTGATCCTCTCTGTCCTTTCTTGCATCACCCCTGGCAACCACGCCTGGGGTGGGAAGACTTCCGGTCCAAGATGACGGGCACCTAAACCACAGAGCTCTAGAGACTGAAGCAGTGCAAGTCACCAGCCTGGTACCACCGAGACTCTCCCTCTGAAGATGAGCTTGTGCTTCTCTTGTCTTAAGCCAGAGATAAGAGGAAAACTTGTTTCAGCCCTGTTCCGGCAGCAAAGGCCCACCCGCCTCCCAGCCTAGCCAGGGCCCACTTTCTATTCTCCTGAGTGTCCCAGCCAGTATTACATCTGTGTGTCGAGCCACATCTAAGGGGATTACTGCATTTACAAGCAAATCCACCAAATACAGTATCAGACAGCAAGAATTTACAGGAGAAGATTTTGTTGTTTGAGGACCCAAGAAAATTGCTTTCAGAGTTTATTTAATGCCTTAGTGGCTGCATTCCCACCTGCTCTTAGATTGGAAGGACTGTAGCTAGAGCGTGTCAGGTGTGTGCCAAGGACAGCTCTTCATTTCACCTGCGCTAATGTCCCATACTCTTCTCCAGAGTGCTCCCCGGGAACTAGACTCTGCTAATAGATATATTTTATATTTTTTAAGTATTTCTGCTACCCCTGGTTTTTAGTGATAGCATTGACATATTTAACAAAAAAATGAATCTCTTGATTGTAGATACACAACGCTGTCCTATCGAGCACCAGAAATGGTCAACCTGTACAGTGGCAAAATCATCACTACGAAGGCAGACATTTGGGTAGGTGTCGCCTAACCTGTCCGCATCTCAGATGTCAGCAGTCTTGGCTGCAAACTCCCAAGTCTAATCTAGACAGTGCCAGAGCCAGAGTGGCCACTGTGCCATATCATTGTCTACTTATTCCTCAGGGTTATCCTTGACTCAAGGTGCTCAGACAATGCTTCTTGAAGCAGGTCCAAGAGGATTCCTTGAGAGCTCTGTGAAAATTTTTCAGGGGACCTGCCCACCATTTAGGTGGTTTTCATATATGTGTTACTGGTTCTTAAGAGCAAAACCAGCTGGAATACTTGTTTATTGGAGCACAATTTGGTAATGATGGTAGAAATAACATAACTTAGCGGGTAAGTAGTGGTGTTGGGTTCTAAATTCAGGGTTCTAACAGGTAAATAGTGTTTAGATCTAGCAAATGTGGATGATGCCAGTATCTCTCAGTAGACCCGTTTGCAGTTACAGTAAATAAACAGCTAGGAGCAATCTGCTTTTTTTTTTAAATTTTTTCAGGCTCTTGGATGTTTGTTATATAAGTTATGCTACTTCACTTTGCCATTTGGAGAGAGTCAAGTGGCAATTTGTGATGGAAACTTCACAATTCCTGATAATTCCCGATATTCCCAAGATATGCACTGCCTAATTCGTAAGTATTTCAAGTTTCTCGTTTCATATTTTTATTTCTGATCTTTAGGAATGAATTGGAGATAAAGGGACTAGACCCCAGGAGTGATGAGTTGAATGCCAAAACAGAAGTCAGTTGGTAATGATTAGTCACTCCAAGTTCGTATAACAATGTCTAGTTAGAATGGTGAGTCTTTTTGCTAGAAATCGGAACTTGGTTTCACACCTGGGCCAGCCTTCTGAGGAGAAACCCTGACTGTGCTTTGAGGATTACAGTGCCATTCTGCTCTCCTGCAGTCTGTGTGAAAGCTCTCTGGTATCAGGGGAGCCTAGCTGACTCATATCAAGCGATACGAGAGTCTTCTTTGCAAAACTGGAAGCAACTCCAATTAGAATGATTGCAGTGCGTTGGCTGAAGTGAATACATAATTAAGACTGTGTAGCTCTATGGAACTAGGTTTCTCCTCCCATTTAGGTCAATCATTGGATTTTGATGAGAAGCATTTAAACTCAGTGCCTTGTTTGAAATTTTTTTTGTGATTCCCCACTCTTTCATGTTGTCTTAGTAAGCGTAAGTCCTGGTGATCATTAACCAGATGGTAGAATAAGTAATCTTTGCTCAAACCCCTGTACTAGAATGCTGAAGAAATGAGATTTTTGTTATTTTTTTACATTGGTCAAAACGTTTAGTATCTGCATTTTAACCATTATGGATTATCAATCCTGTGCAACACAGTTTGGGTCCTAGATGGGGATACACTGGAGAAAATAGAAGAAGCAAATGTGATGCCGGACATCTGACATCTGTTGAAGGTCTACCTGTACTTCATTTAATTTTTAAAACCCTGTGTAGTAAATATAATTATCCCCATTATACAGATGAGGAAATGGAGGCTGAGAAAGTATAGGTAACTCATCCAAGTTAACATAGTTGGAGCTTTTAAGTGACTACCCATCCCACTGTACCAGGTTTATCAATCTGTTTATTAACACAGAAGCTTGAGGCAGTATTTATAGGCATGGAGTATGGCATTTAATGGTCGTTGGATTGTTTTCAGAGGTGAAGCACTGTATCTGTGCTAGAAATGCAACTATGTAAGTGAGATTTGAAGGAAATATGGGGAAAATGGCCAAAATTGATGCTAGAATGGTAGGATTTTTTTGGTTAAATTTTTTTTGTTTGTTTTACTTTTGTGCAGCAAATTCATATGAGGAAACGCAGCTCTTTAGGAATGTCTGTAGCATGAGATCTTTCCTAGCTCTGACCTATTTCACTTTACAAATTATTTCACGGATCTGCTGTCACCCTTACCCACGGGTGTGAAAATAAATTTCTTGTCATTACACCTCCCACCCTCCTTTCACTCCCAATACAAGGTTCCCCTCTCCTCTTTTCAGTTTCTGTCAGTGGTGTCACCATTCAAGTCTGGAAGACTGAACTGGAAGGTATCCTTTGGGTCTGGCTCCGAAGACAGAGCAGAGTCCGTCATTTCCTAAGCGGCATTAATGCTTTCTTTGAAGTTTCTCCTGTTTTTCTTACTTTCTCTCTGTTCTCGTCACTGTCACCATAGGGTAGACCCACCCTGTCAGCTCCTGCCTGCCCTGGTGGATTGGCCACCAGCCCCTCCTCTCCCTCAATCTGCCCTACCCACCCTCACCACGAGATTAGCTTATAAAATGCCACCCTATCATGTCCCTGTTCGGTAACCTTCATGGCTTGCCAGTGGTCCCCTGTATTCTGATTCCGTCCCCCCACTCAACCTTACTTCCCTTTATTCTCTGACAAGGAAACCTCTGCCCTGTCCTCTTGGCTGTTTCCTTGCAACAAAGCATTTTCTTCCCTTGCTCAAGTCCCTCTTTGCGCAGACCGTTTACTTACCTGGAATTTTTTTTCTCTGCTTTTCCCTGACTGACTAGATTCTTTCCTGCCTTCAAGGACCAGCTCAGCTCCTGCCTCATCTGCAGAGGCCTTCACAAGACTGTGGCCTCCTCCATCTTTTCTCAACTTAGTGTCCGAACCGTTCATTTGATTACTTAAGCAATAAACTGCCTTACATTGATGTTTGCATGGAGATGTATATGTGTGTTTGTCTTCTGCAAGATTTTTTTTCCTGAGGATTTTTTCCAACTTCAGAAGGGGCAGAAGCTTGAAGGATCATGAAACAGACACGTGATCTGTAGATCACGGTAAAAGTAGAAATGTATTTGTTACCATGTAATTTCTTTTAGATTGGAAATCAGCTAATATCTTCAACAACAACAGGATAAGACGTAAATTCATGAAATTTGAGTTTTATTTATAATTATCAAGAATAATTATTTGTCTAGCAGATAGTATGAAAGAAATAGGCCAGAACTTGCTAGGTACCAGAGTATGAATGTGGTAACTTTCACCCTGAGAGCTTGAGTCCGTGGTGTGTGGACACAGAAAGTGAACATAAGTATTTTTGTTACAATTCAAAAACCTTGTTATTTTCTTGTGGGTGTTTAAAATACTAGGAAAGTCAGAGCTTCCCTTTCTGAGGGAGGAAAAGAGCTAATTTTACAGTCTAACTTTTACAAGAAATACAAATTAAAAAACAACAATATTTTTGTAATAGAGAAATTATGCTCCTTAGCTGTTGTGCTAACTTTCAGATATTAAATAAGTTTACGCGTGTTTGTCTTAGGGTATATGTTGGAACCGGACCCCGACAAGAGGCCAGATATTTACCAAGTCTCCTACTTCTCGTTTAAACTGCTCAAGAAAGAATGCCCAATTCCAAATGTACAGGTATGTGAAAGGTGCTTGTTTGGGGAAGTAAATATGACTGTATTGTCTTTACCATTCCTGGGGCGTCAGCCAGCTGTTTAAATAAATATAGAAATCCCTTGCGTGAGGTCGTGGTTTCAATCCCCAGTACCTCCTCTAAAAATTAAATAAATAAACCTAATTACTGCCCTCCTTCCCAAAATGATAAAACAGAGGCAATTATACTGAAAACAATAAAACAGAACAACACCCTAGGGATTGAGTTGAACATTTTGGGTACAGATTGACCAACCCGTTATCAAGTGCCTAGCTCCCTGAGAGCCACGTGCCTGTTGTGCGGACCGGAAGGAGCCGGGCAGGCTGCTGTCCTGGGCCAGGGCCCTGGACCTGCCCCGTGCCTGTTGGAACATAAGCCCCTTGTCCCTCTTCTCCTTCGTCGCAGCAGAGCTTTCCTGATTTTGCTTCTGTTGTTGGCCGGTCTCTAACTCACGCTCCTTTTCTTCTCTCCTCCCGGCTCACATCAGGCTGCAGGAATGTTTCCTCCGTGAAGTAATCCTAAACTCTACACTCAGTTTCCAGGGTACAGTGCTGGAACACCCCGTTTACAGTGTTGGCATATTTTCCATGTCATAGTATGATTCAGCTTTCTTGACTATTTTACTAATGGGTGCTCTAGTAAATCATTTCTAATCTGAAGTTGTCTTGCTAGTTTTCCCAGTAGTGAACGTCTGATGTCACTACGGGGGCTTGAGGATGCTAGTAAATAACACTTCTCTTCCCCGCCCACATTCGGAATCAGGTGTGGGAACCATTCAGGTGGAGCTCAGCATACGGGCTTTATTGTGAGTAAGCTTGAGTCAGAGAATGCAGCTTGACTCCCTGACATTAGAGCCACATGACTGAGCAGGAACGCTGGTTCCCCAGGGACAGTCACTTTCACAGAGGAGGGCGAGCCGGGCGGGCTCTCTTTTCTCTCCCAGTCTTAACAGTCAAATGAGTTACCCCTTCCCCTGGGAAGCGGAATGCTTGGAGGGTGGAGGAGAAGCTAGGAGAAATCTTCTAGCAGAAAAAATCCCCCTACCTGAAAACATGCAGGAAATGGAGCTACCTCCTAAAAGCCACTTTCATTACTCGTATTCCACATTTCAGGTTTCCCAGATTAAAACAAGGGGTACCGTACGGTAACCTGACATGACGTGATTTCTTTTGCTGTCCCACTTTCCCACTCATAAAGTTAAATAACGCAAAATGTAATTGAAAGCATCCAGATTTGATAATTCCTTTTCAAAAAGTAAGCTTCACAAGTCTCAAGCCATTTGGCCCTTGCTCGTTAGCAGTAAGCCGTGGTCTTGGGGTGAGGGGCAGCTAGTGCTCCCCCAGAGGCACCGTTAGATGGACGGTGCAGAGTCCAGGCCAGAGCTCTGCCTGCCTGGTGGAAGGAGGGGGGGCCTCACGTGCTGGGGAGAGGTGCTGACTCAGAAACCAGCCCCACGGCGGCTGCGGTGTTCTCCCAGCCTCCTCACTGGACGACCAGATGCATCCTGGCTGGGCGCACTAGTCAGCTCCAACTTCTCTAAGATCTGGAAGAGAGCTTAAATAGTCATAGTCCGCTTACCGACATCTCTTTCCATGCCTTTCATAACATCACTTCTCAGCTGTGCTGTAGGAAGAGGAAGGTACTGAGACCAAGCCCCAGTGCCTTTGCCTGGCGCAGAAGGTTGAGAATGACAGGGTGGAGCGTGCTGTACTCAGGCTGCTCTGTCCGCTTCTCGGGTACTTTGCTTCCCCAATGAGGGCTGAGTCCAGTGAGGTATAATTTGGTTAATTTCCTTCCCTTCCCAGACCAGAGATTGGGGTCTGGAAGACACCAATGTGTATTTCCTTTGGCCCAATCATGCCTGTTATTCTTTTACAAAGAAATCTGTGGGGTGAGGTTTGAGAAGTGGGTGAGATGGGTGGAGGGAGTCAAAAAGGATAAACTTTCCAGGTATAAAATGAATAAGTCACGGGGATATAATATACGGCATGGTGACTCTACTGAATAATACTGTACTGCAGATTTGAAGGTTGCTGAGAGAGTAGATCTTAAAAGTTCTCATCACAAGGAAAAGAAGTCTATAACTACGTATGGTAATAGATATTAACTAGACTGATTGTGGTGATGGTTTTGCAGTCCACCCAAATATTGAATCAATTATATCACACACCCGAAACTAATGTGATGTATGTCAGTTACATCACAATTTTAAAAAAAAGAAATCTGTGAGGTCCTTTTAAATTTTTCTTTCAATTCTCTAGAACTCTCCCATTCCTACAAAGCTTCCTGAACCAGTGAAAGCCAGTGAGGCAGCTGCAAAAAAGACCCAGCCGAAGGCCAGGTAAGAAGTGCCTTAGTGAGCATGCGTCCTCCTCCAGTTGCTGGAGGAGCAGGGAGAGGCGTCTTGTGTTTCTTGATTCTTACACTGCCAGGGCCAGAGGCTGCACAGAACAGGAAAGGAAGCTGTGTCTCCCTCAGGGAGAAAATTTCTTTGGGAGTGCTAGTTGGAGTTTAGTGCAATACAGTGATCTACATCTGAAAGAGACTGGAGAACGCCACAGCTGTTTTCCTGTGCTTGGGAACGGGCGACAGCAGACCTTAAATACCGCTGACACCAGTGTCCTAAACCCGTTTCCTGGCCTCTGTTTAGCCTAGTTCACCACCCTTGTCTCCACCTGCCTTTCCTTCGGACTTTCTGTGGCTGCAGCCACATGAGGGAAAATACAGGTCAAAGTACTGAGTCCACAAAGCACTGAGTCCACAAACAGCAAAAAAGCCTGTGGATCTTAGCTGATCACATTCTATGTAACCTAGTTCTTCCAAGAAAGCAGACCAAGAGAGGAGTAGTCAGGAAGCTGGGTTTTACTTGGGAAAATGCCCCTGTAAGAGAAAATAGGGAGGGTGTCAAGGAACCTGGGGGAGCCGTCAGAAAGCGAGTAAGTCTGACCCAGAGACAGGGAGGAGAAGGTTGGCTTGAAGAGACCTGGACTGCCACACACTGTAAGGAAGGTGCATCAAAAGTGATGGGGTGTCCTTTTCTTTAGGAACGGATCTGCCTGGATGTCCCTGTGTCTGGGACATTAAGGCTGAGAGCAGCCTATGGGAAGTGTGGCCTCAGGGCAAATAGGGCAGTGGATTTCAGGAGCGCAAGAGCTGGGGCACTAGGTGTTTTACACTCTTGTCCTTGAAGGTCTTGCAAGGCACGTCCTCATGGCTGCCACGCCTTCCAAATGGTAGACTCTAAGGGTAGTCCAGATGTCTCTACCCCACTCTTCCACCACACTCTCACAGCAAGGAAACCTTAGCACAAACGGTATCAACAAAGCACCCTGATGGAAATATGTGAATTTTAATACAGCAGTAAAATAATTTCTGTGTGTTAAAAAGTTCTCCAATATTTGTAGAGTGCCCGTTATGTGCACTGGACTATTGCAGACATGGCTCTAAACTAACAGACTTTGTTTTTTAACAAACTTAGCCAACTGTATCCATGCTGTTACTTTATAGCCTGTTTATTTTTTAGTAAGCCTACCATCCTTACCCCTAGGAATTGCTTTGGGGGCTGATTTAATTACCTTAGTGTTTGAGGCTTATGGCCGTCTTGTACTAGGCCCAGACATGGTATGTAAGGAGGCTACACAAAGATTCATTCCCACAAAGCACACGCATTTATAAAAATTGTAATACGCATTGACACTTGAGTGGTACTCTGTTGTATAGAACGGAAAAAAATAATACCTACATCAAAAAAAAAAAAACTATTGGCCTGTAGTTTTCTTTTTTGGTTGGTGTCTTTGTCTGGCTTTGGCATCAGGGTGATAGTGGCTTCACTGAATGAGTTTGAGAGTATTCCCTTCTCTTCAGTCTTTTGGAAGAGTTTGAGAAGGATCGGTAAGAGCTCTTCTTTGTATGTTTGATAGAATTTCCCAGTGAAGCCATCTGGTCCTAGACTTTTGTTTGCAGGGAGGTTTTGCTGTACACCAGAAATTGACACAATATTGTAAACTGGCTATTCTTCGATAATCTTATATATATTTATACACACACACAAAATACCTACATCGTGAGGCAGATACGAGCATCGAACGTGTCTGTGACTATGAAACTTTTATAAACTCTAGGGTGCCCAGACGAGTAGTTTGTATGGACCTCAGTAACACCACAGGAATATATACACCCCACAGCCAAGAGATTTGGGTCTGAGTTGCCCTATGTATCACTTGCAGTGATTTCGTTTACATTGTGATTATTTGCCCCTCCGCCCCGAGAGGCGGGTTTTTCTTTCCCTGTTTCTAAAGTAGCCACTGTTCATTGAGGCATCACGTATACCAGATACCATACTAGGTACTTGACATAAGTAAGGTGACATTTTCCCCCCTTAAAACAAACCTGTGGGGCTCTTGCTGTTCTCACTTTAGAGATGAGGAAACAGAGACAGAATTCTTAAGGGGGTTTTTTTCTTTCCTTTTTTTTCAGAATTGTTAAGTTTAGAGATGAGGAAACAGAGACAGAATTGTTAAGTCAGTTGCCCAAGGCAGTCAGTCAATCCGTGGTTAGTACAAAGACCCAGAACTCCAGCATCCACATTCTTCCTACCCTGCATGTTAAGAGGTTTGCCCAAGATCACACGGATAGGACAACTCAGAGCCAGATCTCCTGGCTTCGGGGTTTGTATTTTCTTGCAAAATTTGAGGTCCCTTCGAAGTAACATTTTGTGCACTCTTCAGTTTATAAAATGGTTTCACAGTCATTGACACATTGGATGTTCACACCCACCTCATAGTGTGGGTATTATTGTCTCCATTTTACACGTAGGGGAGCCAAGGCTAAAGAGGTTCAATGACTTGCCTGTTATCACAGTTAGTGGGGAGCTAGAGTTCAAATACAGTTTTCTTTGACTCCAAATCCTGTTGTTTCTATAAATGTTGCCCTTAGGAGACCAACGTGGAAGTTCTTGGCATTTGGTTTTCTGCAGAAGTCTGTTTACCTCCCCGACTCTTAGCTTGATCTTTCTTACCCCTTTCTCCTCTTTATCAGCATCCATCCTGTTTTCCTTTCCACCTCCCTTGCCCAGGTCACAAGCTCCCCAAATGTGACAGCTTTTATATTACCAGTTCTCTACCCAGCGCAAGAGCAGGATGCCGTGAAGTGCCTCAGGGTCCAGGACGGGCACACCTTGGAGGCACGTCGTGTGGAGGGATGTGGGGCTGGCCGCTTTGCTCCCCAAGTGGTCTCTTACAGAGGCTGTGCCAGGCATATTCTGAAAATACTCATTAAGCTTGTTTATTTGGGGCTTCACCTCGCCTATTACTCCCTAACGTGTATTTTCAAAGGACAACCACTCTGCTCTGAGTGAGGGTGTGGCCAGCTGCCTGCGCGGCTCTAAATCAAGGGAACCTACCACCTGGGCTTTGGCCCCATCACAAGGAGCAAGTGAGCTACACCCTGTTTGATTTGGGTTAGATTTGGCCATGAGTACCAGAAAGTGCAAATGACAGTGGCTTATATAAGATAGATTTTTTTTTTTTTTGCCCTTTCAAGTAAATGACATCTCGGGGCAAGCAGTCCAGGGCTGGTATGGCACTTCTGTTCCACAAAGCCCTGAGGTACCCAGGCTTCTTTAAGCTCATCACTCTACCATCCCTATGGTTGTGGCCACGTCCTCATGGACCAGTATGGCAACATCCCTCTTCAAGGAACAGCCGAAGAAGAATAGAGACAAAGAGCATGCACAGAGTTTCTTAAGATTTCTAGAAACCGCCACACAGCAATCTGTTTATATCCCACGTGAGGTCAGAACTCACACGCATGGCCACACCTGATTACGAGTGAGACTGGGCAATGTGATTTTTATTCTGAGTGACCCTGTGCCCGGCTGAAAGTTATATGAGTACCATGGAGAAAAGTGAATGTGTGTATTGGGGGAAATGAGGAAATGGAGTTCCTGTCACACTTCCCAAATCTCTTATCTTGAATTATTTACTTATTCCTGCTAGTTGCCTTATTGGATTAACTCATTTGTATGCTTTTTATTAGAGAGAGAACATGTTGACAGCTAGTTCTAATCAAGTTTGAGTCCCTCTGCATCTGAAAACCACCTGCTTCAAACCCCTCTTTGCATCATCACCCAAAGTGTATTCTGGGAAATCCTATGAAGTTTTAGGCAAAAGAGTCCCAAGATCAAAACAAGTCTGACAAACATCGCATTCTGTATAACGTTCTCTTGCGGTTTGCCATGCACAGTCACGCGTGAAGTTTCGCTAGAAAGAAATCTGCTCAATGTATTTTGATCACTATGTTAAAACTTATTTGCCCACCTTTTAAAATAACATCTAGTAACACATAATATCCTGTGGAATACGCTTTGGGAAATGTTGATGAAGTGGGCCTGGAAGGTTTGAATGAATGTGAAGGTGAAAGTTTGTCCATCACATACTCTTGTCTTCCCTTCTCCATTTTCTCACACTTGAACAGGAATCTATTTTTCTTTTCCTTTTCTTTTTCTAGGCTGACAGATCCCATTCCCACGACAGAGACTTCAATTGCACCCCGCCAGAGGCCGAAAGCTGGGCAGACTCAGCCCAACCCAGGAATCCTCCCCATCCAGCCAGCCCTGACACCTCGAAAGAGGGCCACAGTTCAGCCCCCACCGCAGGCTGCAGGTCAGTAATGAGTTTGGTGTGAAACTTGGTACACCTCCTGGATGATAGAGAAGTCCTGGATGATAGGAAAGCTGGTTTGCCTTGGAATGGAATCTAGAGCACATAAGCAATAATGGTTTTCCTTGAGGAACAAGAAGTGAGCTGCCAGTGAAATTGTACAGGAAGTGACTGGCAGAAGGGAGGGCCTCCCACTGGGCTCTGCGCTGGAGCTCAGAGGCCACTGAAGCCTGACGTCTCTATTCTTTCTAGTCTTGGCCCTGATTTTATGACTTTGTCTATTCATTCCATACCTACACCTTTATTTCATTTGCCTTTAAAAAAAAGACTTTTTTTGATACAGAGGAATTATTTTTTTTTTAGTTTTCTTTTGTGGGGAAGGTAATTAGGTTTATTTTTATTTAATTATTATTATTAATATTTTTAAATGGAGGTACTGGGGATTGAACCCAGGACCTCACGCATGCTAAGCATGCGCTCTACCACTTGAGATAAACCCTCCCCACCAAGAGGAATTCTTTCTTTAATGCTCTGTCCCTTGAAGTATCTGTCATCTCTCCGTGTTTTGACATTCTGTTTCTAATGAGTTGACTGAGTTTACTTTCATAAAGAGAGTTGATCGAAATTATCAAGTAACTGAATACAGCCATCGGTCCCCTCACCAAGAAGCTGCTGTTGGTGAATTTGGTGGCCGTTTACTTACAGTCAGGCATCCAGACCGGGGTTGTGTAACATGCATGTAAAACATCAGAGTGCTTTTGTCCGCAGCATGCCAACAGTGCAGAGCCTGTGTTTATGTACAGTAGCATCAAAGGCCAGTTGAGTAGATCGATTCTCGGCCTGTGGAGTAAAAGAATAATGGACTAAATGGGATGGTGAATAAGGGAAGACTTCCTGCGGGAAACAAGTACTGAGCCCTGTTACTAAACTGTGTTTTGAAAAATATGAAGCACGTAGTTTGGCAAGAAGAAGGAAGGACCTTTCAGGTGCAAGGACAGCGAGGAGCACGTGGATCTTGGGGTTATCTGGGCCCTTATCGCCTCCTCTTTCTTGCTCTGGCAAGAAGGAAGGCCAGTTTTGTTTGGAAGAGTTTTGAGCCCTCATATGGAGTTTATTCTGTTTGCAGGATCCAGCAATCAGCCGGGCCTTTTAGCCAGTGTTCCTCAACCCAAAGCCCAGCCCCCGCCCAGCCAACCCCTCCCGCCGTCCCAGCCCAAGCAGCCCCAGGCGCCGGCCGCCCCGCAGCAGACGCCTTCCGCTCCGGCCCAGGGTCTGCCCGCGCAGGCCCAGGCCACACCCCAGCACCAGCAGCAG